ATTTTAATAGCATTATAACTTTAGCTAATACAGTTTAAGAAAATGGTCTATTAAAATCTGCATCATGTTCCTTTGTGATGTTCAGAATTACCTTTGTGTAATTATTTTTTACCAAAAGTTACGTAAGTTATAAAGGTTGCTGTTTTAAAGGCTTGTGATAATTTAGAAATGAATCACTTCAGAAATGCTGAAGAAATGAAGACAATAAATCCTGTGGTCTTAAAGTATTTTCAAAATGTTTCACTTCTTTTCTTCAGAATTCTCCCTCTTTTCTCACTTTTCTTGAATTTTGCAAAATTCATTACCTCTTCAGGTTTCACAACCATATGCATCCTAGATGAATTAACATCAGGTTCATGTAGAAAAGAAAACTTATTTGAATGAATAAACATGTTCTTTAGTAAGTAAAGAAACCAACCCCTAGAAATTCTGTTTTTTTTTCTTCTTAACAGATTATAGTTTTGTCGAGGTTTATTTAATTATAATATTGATATCTGCAGTTGTGAAAACCAGCTTTCTGGTTTTGACAAAGATTTAGCAGGTGGTGTCTCAGGAAAAATAAGAGTAAACTTTGAAGATGTGTCTCAAAGCTCTATCTCTGATAGGGTCTGCAGCTGGGAACAGAGCACTGTGGTGGGATGGAGTTACTGGATATAGTTGTCTGCGGTCTCTTAGTTTTGTTTTGTTGCTTGCTTTAAATATGATGGTAACCTGTTGATTTTTGTAGTAACTATGGTTTGTCTTATCCATGACTTTAATTTCTGCATAGAGATCTGTCTGGATTTGTTTGGCCTTAGCATACTCTAGATTCAATTTTCTTACCCTGGCTGATCTATTTCCAACATAAATTATGTAACTGGGGGATGCGGGGGCGGGGGGAGTCTCTTTTATATTTTATGACCAAGTATTTTCCTTGCAAATATATTTTGGTCTGTTTTCTTTTTTTTTTTTCGTTTTTTTTTTTCCTCTCCTTTCTTTCTGCTAGTTATAGGAAAGAGCTGCAGGTACAAAAATTACCTCATGTTTGATATAAATTTTGATTTTACAATACACAACTTCTCCATTTAAGCCTTTAATCCTTTCAATTTTGACTCTCCATGGTCTTGTCATAAACTAATACAAGATTAGTGCTTTAACCTGATCAGTGAATGGCTAGATGGAGTTCAACATGTTCTAATTAATTCTAGCTTTTTTGAACACGTTTATGCTTTTATGTGTTCAGGGAGATGAGTGAGGTTCGCTAGTTATGTCTTCTTGGCTTTACTCCCTGTCAGACATGAACCAAGCTGCAGACATGAGAACAAATTTTGTTTCCCTTTGTACAATTTGAACAATACCGAGAGTGCAAATAAAATGGAGTACTGATTCTCCACCTTCATTTCTTTTTCTCTACTATTTCATACCTGCTCAACCCTGTATTTAAAACTTTTTAGAAAGCTAATAATAGTTGTTATTTGAAATTCTTTCAGTGTTGTTTCAGGGATTTTTAAGAGCTATGTGCTGTATACCACAATTCTTAATCTTCTAGGTTGTAGTACCTCCTGCATTCATACTTGGCAGTTATGCTGTGTAAATATACCCAGTGAAACATCTAGATATGTCGCACTGAGAAGATGATGCTTCAAGCTGATGTTATGACACTGGTATTCTAGTAATGGTGCTATTGAAATGTGTATACTCAAGTACGCTTTCAACAAATGGAAAATCTGGCAAGTTAAATTGCTGTTGGAGTAGGGAGAACTTTTTGAATTTTTACTTTCTTTTTAAATTGAGTTGATGCTTGTCAGATCTGAATTGCAGTAGGTGGCTATATTCTTTTAGGTTGTATTGGAATCTGTGCTGTATGTACAATACTAAGAAAATTCGTAAGAAACCTGTCAGTGACTTACTGAAGCTTACTAATTCTCTTTTATAGCTGTAGCTCAGAGGGTTCAAATTTTTGCCATCTGTAGTAAGTGTAAAAAGAGAGATGCTGTGTATGCTCTACACTGGCACACATATATGCAGTAGAACTAATAAGCATGCAAATTCAACCGAGCTGCTATACAACATGATGCTATCTGAAACTTTGTTATTGAAACTTTTGTGCTTGAGTGCTTATGTGGGATTTTTTTGTTGTTGTTTTTTTGTTTATTTGTTTTAAATCATTCTCTGTGTCTTATATTGACAATCCTACCTAAACAGAAGATGAAAAAAAAAAGTTGGCCTGTCTGGACACATTAACTGAAAAATATTCTCCTGGATTATGCAATTGAGAAGTTGGATGAAATTGAACATCTAAGATATTCTTAATGATGATGGAGGTTTTTCAAGAGGAATAAGACAATATTTTTGTCATTCCTTAATAAATAATTCTAAATGTTATTGTTCTTTCCCAGTGGAGTCTTGACTGGTTGGAAGAAAGCATGTTCCTGTATCTTATATCACCAAACGAGTTATGATTGTGTGAAGATAATGCGTTGCTCTGAGCAGCACAAGTGTGATTAGAACTTCAAACCAAATCCCTGCAAAAACAATTTTTGGGGGGCAGGGGGGGAGGTAGTCCCTCGGATATCATTCCTTTCTTTCTTTGTCCTAAAAGCTTTTGTCACTGGATAATCTTTTACACCCTAGTCTCTGTGGTATTTGTGCAACACATCCTTGCAGAGTGTTTTAAGAAAGTCAATAGATAGCTTTGTAGTTACTACAGTATTCTCTTTTTTGCTAAATTTGATGTATAAGCTTATGCCATATGCCAGCCAAAAAGTGTTAAATATGGAGAGAATAAAGAATTGAAGAATATCTGTATACCTGTAGAGTAAGGTATCCTATGCCATATGCTAGCCAAAAAGTGTTAAGTCTGGAGAGAATAAAGAATTGAATATCTGTATACCTGTAGAGTAAGGTGTAGGAGTGTGGTGGGTTGACCAGTCAGCAGCTGAGCACCCACACAGCTGCTTGCTTGCTTCTCCTCCTGCTCCCCCAGGACAGGGAAGAGAATAGGAAAAGCAAAAACATGAAGACTCTTGAGTCAAAATAGAGACCATCTAATAAATGAAGGGAAGCAGAATAGAAAAACATGTGACGCAAAGGCAGTAACTCAGCATCTCCCACGAGCAGACTGATGCCCAGCCAGTCTCCAAGCAGCAGCCACTGTGGAAGACAAAACCCCTCAGCCCCCTCTTCCTTTATGCCAGTATTTATTGCTGAGCGAGTTACATAGTATGGAGTATCCCTTTGGCCAGTTCGGGTCACCTGTCCTGGCTGTGTTCCCTTCCAACTTCTTCTTCCCCAGCCTACTTGCTTAGAGGAGTGAGAGGTGGGGAAAAAAGGGAAGGTCTTAATCCTGTATAAGCACGGTTCAGCGACAGCCAAACAATTGGTTTGTTATTAACACTGTTTTAACCACAAATCCAAAACACAGCATCATAAGGACCACTATGAAGAACATTAACTCCATCCCAGTCATACCCAGCACAAGCATGATGGAGAAAATCGTGCAGACATAATCTGTATTCTGAAAATGCTTGTGTTCTAGTACACAAACCAGTCTATGAGATCACAGACTTAACGCATTCATGACTGGAAATAGAGTTTATCAGCTCTTAAGTTTCCTATCCCTTCCCCATCCTACCGGCAGCCAAATTTAATATATTTGAAGTTGTTCCGCATGTGGGAAAGAGAAAATTCTATTTTTAATTACTGTTTAAGAAGCTTTGCATAGAGAAGCAAAATACTTTAGAATAACTTAATTGTTACTATGGAAATCACTCCCCTCTCAGAAAAAAAATTGGACAGCAAAGGTGCATAACTGGGAATATACTATTACATAAATGGCATTTTTCCTTTGATCTCTTGAAGTTAATACAGTAATATGTAGTGAACATTTCTGCTATATATTATAATTATGGAAGACTGTTTAAAATGAACTTCTAAAATTGATAAATATGTAACATAAATCTGTCATAACTAATTGCAGCGTTTCAATTTGTGTAAGTGACATACTTGATTTATCTGTAGGTAAAATTATGTGTTTAAGTGTTTTCTGATTTAGGACACTGTATCAAAGTCACAATTATTGTAGTTTTTCTACATATTATATGCACATTCATTACAGAATACCTGATTAAACTTTTTTTCCAGAGTGCCTGATAACAAATTTGATCTCCTAATGGATAACTCTTAGATGAAATGCCAAAGATCACAGTGTATTAACATTATTTATATTGCATATAGCGCGACTGATAATACAAGGGCTCAGATAGCGTATCTGACCAATAATTCAGTTTTGGCTGCTTTGCCTTTTCTTGCAAGAGCATTTAAATTGTACTGTAGTTCTTTTGCTCCTGTCAGCTAAAACCTATCATTGGACTACAGTTTTATACTCATCTGAAAAGTGTGTGGTTTTCTAAAGGTTTTGGTAAGAAAAGTGTCATGGGCAACTATGTGTACATTCCCAGGTCATGAATTCTTGAACCTGTTTAAATCAGGTATAATACTGAGCTGGGAATCTTGGAAGCCATTACATTCATAGAAAGAGGAAGTGAGGTGAAGTGAAAAACTGGTGGCTGGAGATGAGGAAGGCTGCAAAATGACCACAGCAGTTATCTCTCCCAATTGACCTGACATGGGCCAGTCCCAGTGTGCACAGCTGCAGCTCATGACCCTTCTCTCCCAGGCACTCTTCAGGACTAGAGGGGGGGAGCAAGCCCGCAGTGACAGGAGCAGAATGCTATGGGGTGAAAACAGGCGGTTTGGGGGAGTGAAGTGATAGGCTGTTGGAACTTAGTGAAGAATAAGAAATGCAGTCAATGTGATGGTGATGGACATGGATGAGTATAGGATGCAAACCCATTAGAAACCAAGCTTCGTTTGTTTCAGCACTGAGTGAACAATTTCTTTCATTAAGAAAATAAAAAAGTAGTAGCTGATGGTGATGGATAGCTATAGAAATATGTAATTAAATCATATTACGTATTAAAAAAAGAAGAAACTTACCGTTCCTCTTATTTCTGCTTTAGACCAGATCTATTTGATTGGAATGCTGTTGCTTCTCAGCAGTCATCTGTACAACGATTGGACCATGCATTCAACATAGCCAGGCAACACCTGGGCATAGAGAAACTCCTTGATCCTGAAGGTTAGTAGAAATTATGTTCTTTTCTCTAAGTAGAAGAACAATTTTCCCATGCATTTGATTGTAAATTTATTTGCCTTTGCACAAGAATTTAAGGTTTTGCAAGATAAATCATGAACTGAAGAAAAATCTGTTGTTTACTTATGTTTTAATGTTCACTTTGTGCTCTTTTCAAAGAAACTAAAAACTGCCTGCATGTACATGCTTTAAAGCATTTTTTTTCCAGCTTTAGGACCAGAGTTTTAAAGTGTGTGCAATGAATGAGAGGTATCTCAATACGTAGCTGATTTGTTTCAAAGATTTAGAGCATCTGCAGCTTTTATATCTTCTGAAAAGATCATGAGTTCAAATTATCTTTTAATACACAACCAAAATGTATATTCAAACTCTAGATGCTCATATCTTTAAAGTATGACTTATGCGTCTTCTGTATATTGAAATTTTATCAGGATGACATGACTTATATCATGACATGACTTATGTGTAATAGACTTGCCTGTTTCACCTTAACAATATATTTTCTACTTCCTTATGCAGTCATGTTTGAAACGTTCCTTGTTTCCACGTGATCTTTTTAATTTTCTCCATTTCTATATGTTCTCTACCCTATTTTCTGCATTGCTGAGAGCTGAAGTAATTTTCCCTCAGAGAATGTTTTTAAATCATTCTTTACTACAAGGTCTTGTTGAACAGCTATTGTATTTTCTTTTTATGTATTTATACTTATATACAGACTGTGTTTCCACACCGTGATCCATATGCTATATTTCCATACATTTTCCCATTAAGCCAATAATAAATGCAATTTCCTATGCGGTTTTGCTGTTCTCGGTGTCTCACCTCATGGTGAGTTTCTGATGGGAAGAACCAGAATTTATCAAAATGTAAAAATTAGTCTAAAATAGAACACTGGGTCTCGTAATATGTAAATATAGTAAGGCATGTCTCAAGATTGAACTAATAAGCTTGTATCCCTTATATTTACCCAGGAGAAAGGTATGAAAAAACTGCTTATGCTGTAGTTGAATATCATAAAGCTCTCTGCTCTGTAATCTTACTGCTTTGTAGGGTGAAAAACGATTAGAGGAGATCAGACTCACAGAATTTTCAGAGTTGGAAGGGTCCTCTAGAGATCATCTAGTCCAACTCCCCTGCTAAAGCAGGATTGCCCAGAGCACGTTACTCAGGACTGCATCCAGGCGGGTTTTGAAAATCTCCAGAGAAGGGGCCTCCACAACCTCCCTGGGCAGCCTGTGCCAGTGCTCTGCCACCCGAACTGTAAAGAAGTTTTTCCGTGTGTTGGAACGGAACTTCCTATGTTCTAACTTGCACCCATTGCCCCTCGTCCTGTCACTGGGAACCACCGAGAAGAGTGTGGCTCCATCCTCCTTCAACCTACCCTTTAGATATTTGTAAGTAGTAATAAGGTCTCCCCTCAGCCTTCTTTTCTCCAGGCTAGAGAGTCCCAGCTCTCTCAGCCTTTCCTTGTAAGGGAGACGCTCCAGTCCCTCAGTCATCTTGGTTGCCCTTCGCTGGACTGTCTCCAGCAGTTCCCTGTTTTAATTCAGGGTGGTGACGTTTTGCCCTGTGTAGAATTAGAGGAGCATCTCAAGCAGTTCTCACAATTGGAGCAGCAAGTAAGATTTGAGAGTTAAAGATGACAGGGATTTGCCACCTGATAGGTGAATGCTTTGAGAGTGCCTCTTGAGTATCCATCTTGCGTGCAGTCAGAGAGTTCCCCTTATACTAGCAATGTATGGGGTATTTGTAGTCAGACTTGTGGAAGAAATGTACAGTAAAACCAGTACAGCATTGCTTGCTAGTACGCTATCTCTCATCTCTAGAACTGAATTGGTGTGAACCACTGGAGGAGGAAGAGGCTTGCTACATGCTAAAGCATGAGATGCAGCTTGTAAGCTCTGAATGAGATTGCAATTTAAAACTGGGTTGCACAACTGAATAGATATAGTCATAGTCTTTGCTATAAATGATTGAACTTTCTTCTTCAAATAAATTAGTGAATAAGTTATTTTCTGTATGCAAAATTCACTTTAGATTTGACATTTTATTCTGGTTTTGGCAAAGATACTTGCAGTTGTTTAGCCGACAACTAAAAAACTCAAACATTGTTGCTTTTCCAAATGTCTGCTGTAATTATTTGCTATTCAGTGCTGTAAATTGTAGTGCTTTCCCCCCACCACCCTCTACAAATAAAAACCTGCAAACTTTTCCAAAGGAAGAGTAAATTTTGTACCTATTTGAAAATGTATGAATTTGTGAAACTGTAACAATTTGGTTCACGATAATAAATCTGTTCCCAGACTGAAAAATAGAATTACTAGTGCATAAGTAAGGAATCATGTTTGAATATTCCAGCATACTACTTCTGTAATTTTACTTTGTATATTTATCACCTCTCCTAATTAGATACTCAAATATCTCTTAAGAGCATGTTGTATAACAACACTGTTCTCTGGCTGTTAACTTAATAAAAACTGCTAAGTGCTACTATATTACAACAAAAAAGGAGTATGCATTTTGTCAAAACAGCACACGTAAATTGTGAACACTTTTAAGATTTGTTTTTGTTGATTAAATATTTGCTGTCTTGATATTTTGAAAATATTATGTGGAAGGGAAGTTACTATTCAATAACGCCCTATTCTTCTGCAACCTTATACGGTAGTCAAAAAAAGAAAGGGTTTGGGGTTTTTTTTGTGTATTCTGAAGTTACCGATGATTGATAAACTTTAAACAGATGACTAGGGAATCCATCTTATCAATTACATTTTTAAAAGTAAATAGTTTTATTCAGCCAAACATTGGTTTTCAAGGTTATATATGAAGTTCGTTTGTTTCTGAGGTTGCTGATATTTCAAGTCTGTCCCATGAGAAGTAGTCAGTCTGTTTTGAGGATATTGATATTTTAAGTTTGCCCTGTGAGCAGCTTTTAAAACATCATTTTGGAATTTGATCTGCATTTCAATCACCAAAGTGGCTAAGATATGGACCATGTTTAAGTATTTCCTGTACAAGCCACGTTGTATAAGTTGCAAGGTTTTGTATTTTGATTTGTGCAGCGATGACAGTTCTTACTATTTCGCTCATTGACTAGTAGGAATGCTTTTTTACATCAGCACTGCATCTTCAAGCAGGCACTTTCATAAGTTTTTAAGCAAGTGAACTTAACAAAACCTACCCCAGCCAATTATATTTATACTGATGATGGGTGCATCTTAAAACACTAGGCATCTCCTCTAAAAGGCATATTCTGTGTCCTTGCATCTTCTTGAGAAATTCTTATTTTATACACAGGTCCCAAAGTAGTTTGACAAAATTGTTTTGTTCATGTTTTGATTGATTGACTTTGTATCTTGTCTATGAAACTTGATAATGTCTTCACATGTTATATAACCCTACTAACTTCCTCTTAAAAATAGCACAGTGTATGTCTTCCTGCTTATAGCTTTCCTCTAAAGAAAATTAGCTGATTGTGATTAATCAGGTGTTATCTGAAGATACTGTGTTTTGATATAAATTCAAAAAAAAATAGGCTACATAAGCAGCATAGAATAAACTCTGCAGACCTATTCTGCAATCAGAATGTTCATAATGTGGGGGGGGGGGAGGGAGCAAACAAACTTATGTGCAAGAATAAGATATGTGGTAGGAGCTTTATTCCAGCCTTTTCCCTTTCTTGTTCAGACAGAAGAGGTGAGAAAGTGGCCCCATTCCACAGTAAAAACTTTAAATATTTTAACTGTTGTTTTTTTGTTTTGTTGTTGGTTGTTTGGTTTTTCCCTTGATGTTGAAGAGGTGCACATAAGGGATAAATATAGCATAAGGGATAGATTTTCTTCCTCTTCTCTGTCATGAAAAAGCAGTGGAAGATTCAGCTCTATTCTGGTTGCAGGAGTTCAATGTGCTTTAAGTTTGCCGATGATCCTAAACTAGGAGGAGCTGTGGACTCCCTCAAGGGTAGAGAGGCCTTAGCGAGAGATCTGTATAGGCTACAGAGCTGGGCAATCACCAGCTGTATGAAATTTAACAAGAGCAACTGCTGGATTCTGCGTCTGGGACAGGATAATCCTGTTTATATGTACAAATTGAGGGACAAGAGGCTGGAGAGCAGTCCTGCGGAAAGACATCTGGGGCTTTGGGTCGATGGCAAGTTGAATATGAGTCAACAGTGTGCCCTGGCAACCAAAAGGGCCAGTTGCATCCTGGGGTGCATCAAGCACAGCATAGCTAGCTGGTCACAGAGGGTGATTGTTCTTCTCTACGCTGCACTGGTGTGGCCCCACCTTGAAGCATTGTGTGCAGTTTTGGGCACCTCAATGTAAGGAGGACATCAAACTATTAGAGTGTGTCCAGAGGAGGGCAACCAAGATGGTGAAAGGTCTCAAGGACAAGACTTGGGAGGAGTGGCTGACATCACTTGGCTTGCTCAGTTGGAGAAGGTTGAGGGGTGCCATCTCATCACAGTGTGCAACTTCCTCAAGGGGTGCAGTAGAGGGGGAGGTCTGATCTCCCCTTTCTGGTGGCCAGCAATAGGACACAAGGAAATGGAATGAGTTGCATCAGGGGAAGTTCAGATTGGATGCTAGGAAAAGGTTCTTCACTGAGAGGGTGGCTGGTCACTGAAACAGGCTTCCCAGGGAAGTGGTCACGACACCAAGCCTGTCAGAGTTCAAGGAGTGTCTGGATGACACTCATAGTCTTATGATTTAGTTTTAGATAGTCCTGCGAGGAGCGGAGAGTTGGACTTGATGATCCTTATGGGTGCCTTCCAACTCAAGATATTCTATGATCATTTTGATTGAATCTTGCCAGTGTGTGAACCGTAAGCAGGCTTGTATGTCTATCTGGTGTTCACTACTGTAGTTTATGAAAGATAACAAGGGGAAAAATAAGAAGGTGTAGGGGATATTGATGGATGGTAGAAAGTGTTATTTAGACGAAAGTTAATAAAGGCCTAGAGATTAATGGCAAGGATTCAAAAG